CCCCTCAGACACACGGTCAAGGTAGTCTGGTGCTGCAGAGAGATAACTGGTATAGTGGTAACCATAGCGACAGGTAACGGTATAGTGATATACTCTATAGGTTTACTCCACAAACTGCCTGGGCCTCAAGGGATCCATTCAAACCAGTCTACAGTCTATAACCACCTAGTATAACCAGTCTATAACCACCTAGTATAACCACAGTCTATAACCACCTAGTATAACCACAGTCTATAACCACCTAGTATAACCACAGTCTATAACCACAGTCTATAACCACAGTCTATAACCACAGTCTATAACCACCTAGTATAACCACAGTCTATAACCACCTAGTATATCCAGTCTATAACCACCTAGTATAACCACAGTCTATAACCACCTAGTATAACCACGTCCTATAACCACCTGTTAATTCCAGTCTATAACCACACCTAGTCTAAACCCCAGTCTATCAAACGCACCTAGTATAACCACCGTCTATAACCACCTAGTATTCCACAGTCTATAAACCACTATTATACTCCACATCTAAAACTCACCTAGTATAACCCACATCTATAACCACCTAGTATATCCACAGTCTATAACCACCTAGTATAACCACAGTCTATAACCACCTAGTATAACCACAGTCTAAAACCACCTAGTATAACCACAGTCTATAACCACCTAGTATATCCACAGTCTATAACCACCTAGTATAACCACAGTCTATAACCACCTAGTATACCAGTCTTATAACCCATATAATATCCACAGTCTATACCCACCCTAGTATACCACCATTATAAACCACAGTCCTTACCCACAGTCTATAACCACCTATTATAACCAAGTCTAAACCACCTATATACCCACATTCTATAACCACCTAGTAATAACCACAGTCTATAACCTTTTCTATAACCACAGTCTATAACCACCTAGTATAACCACAGTCTATAACCACCTAGTATAACCACAGTCTATAACCACACAGTCTATAACCACCTATTATAACCACAGTCTATAACCAGTCTATAACCACCTAGTATAACCACAGTCTATAACCACAGTCTATAACCACCTAGTATAACCACAGTCTATAACCACCTAGTATAACCACCTAGTATAACCACCTAGTAAACCACCTAGTATAACCACAGTCTATAACCACCTAGTATAACCACAGTCTATAACCACAGTCTATAACCACCTAGTATAACACCAGTCTATAACCACAGTCTATAACCACCTAGTATAACCACAGTCTATAACCACCTAGTATAACCACAGTCTATAACCACCTAGTATAACCACAGTCTATAACCAGTCTATAACCACAGTCTATAACCACCTAGTATAACCACAGTCTATAACCACCTAGTATAACCACAGTCTATAACCACACAGTCTATAACCACCTATTATAACCACAGTCTATAACAGTCTATAACCACCTAGTATACCACAGTCTATGACCACAGTCTATAACCACCTAGTATAACCACAGTCTATAACCACCTATTATATGAACCACCTAGTATAAAACCACCTAGTAAACCCACAGTCTATAACCCAGTCGAAAAACCCCCTATTTAAACCACAGTCTATAACCACAGTCTATAACCACACAGTCTATAACCACCTAGTATAACCACAGTCTATAACCACAGTCTATAACCACAGTCTATAACCACCTAGTATAACCACAGTCTACCACAGTCTATAACCACCTAGTATAACCAGAGCCTATCCACCTAGTATCACCACCTCCCCAAAAAAAATTTTCCCTATAACCACAGTCTATACAACAGTCTATAACCACCTGTAATAACCCACAGTCTATAACCACCTATTATAACCAACCACAGTCCTAATAACCACAACAGTCTAATAACCACCTTTATAACACCACAGTCCTATAACCACCCTATATAACACAGTCTATAAACCACAGTCCTATAACCACAGTCTATAACCACCTAGTATAACCACAGTCCCTAAATAACCACCTAGTAATTAAACCACCTGTATAGACCACCTAGTATAAACCACAGTCTATAACCACCTAGTATAAGAAACCACATTCTATAACCACAGTCTCTAACCAGCCCTAGTATAAACCACAGTCCTTATAACCACAAGTCTATAACACCTAGTATAACCACAGTCTATACCCACCTAATTATAACCACCGTCTATCAACACAGTCCTATAACCACCTATTCTAACCACAGTCTCATCCACAGTCTATAACCACACCTTCTTAACCACCGTAGTAATGAACCCAAGTCTTAACCACAAGTCTATCCCCACAGTCTATAACCACCTCGTGAAAACCCACAGTCTTACCATCTATAACCACAGTCCTATAAACACCTAGTATACCCAGTCTATAACCACCTTTATAAACCACAGTCTATAAACCACTAGTAAATAGAAACCACAGTCTATAACCACAGTCTATAACCACCTAGTATAACCAGTCTATAACCACCATAGTATAACCACAGTCTATAACCACCTAGTATAACCACCTATTATAACCACAGTCTATAACCCCGGTAGTATAAACCAGTCGATAACCACTAGTATAACCACGTCTTTTTTTGTATAACCACCTAGTATAACCACCTAGTATAACCACAGTCTATAACCACCTAGTATAACCACAGTCTATAACCACCTAGTATAACCAGTCTATAACCACCTAGTATAACACCAACAGTCTAAACCAACCTAGTCTAACCACAGTCTAAAAACCACCCTATATAAACCACATCTATACCACCTAGTAGTACCCACCGTCTATACCACAGTATAACCAGTCTATACCCACCTAGTTCCCACAACAGTCTATAACCACCTGTATAACCAGTCTAAACCACCTAGTATAACCACAGTCTATAACCACCTAGTATAACCACAGTCTATAACCACCTAGTATAACCAGTCTATAACCACCTAGTATAACCACAGTCTATAACCACCTAGTATAACCAGTCTATAACCATCTAGTATAACCACAGTCTATAACCACAGTCTATAACCAACTAGTATAACCACAGTCTATAACCACAGTCTATAACCACAGTCTATAACCACACAGTCTATAACCACCTAGTATAACCACAGTCTATAACCACCTATTATAACCACAGTCATAACGCACATCTACTAACAACCACCTAGTCTAACCCACAGTCTATAACCAGTTCTATAACCACAATGTCTATAACTCACCTATTATAACCACAGTCTATAACCACCGTAGTATAAACCTACAGCCTATACCACACAGTTCTCACCACCTAGTATAACACCAGTCTATTAACCACCTAGTATACCACAGTCATCCACACGTCCTATAACCACCTAGTATACCCACATCTATAACACAGTCCTATAGACACACCTAGTATAACCACAGTCTATAACCACCTATTATAACCACATTCTTATAACCACCTAGTATCCCCAGTCCTATAACCACACAGTATAATACCACCCTAGTAAATAACCACAGTCTATAACCACACAGTCTATAACCACCTAGTATACCCACAGTCCTAAACCCCATCTTACCAACCTAGTATACCAAAACCCAGCCACTAACACCTAGTTATAACCACAGTCGATAACCACACATCTATAACCACCTAGTAGACCACGCTTACCACAGAGTCCTATAAAACCACCTAGTATACCACAGTCTAATAACCACCTATTATAACCACAGTCTAATACCAACCTAGTCTAACCACTAGTATATCCACAGTCTATAACCACCTAGTAAGGAAACCACAGTCTATAACCACCCTAGTTAATCCACAGTCGATAACCACAGTCTATACCACCTAGTATAACCACAGTCTAGAACCACCCTAGTATAACCACAGTCTCTAACCGACGTCTAAGAAACCCCTAGTATAAAACCACGTCTATAACCACCTGTAACACCACGTCTATACCACCTAGTATAACCATCAGTCTATAACCCAGTCTATACCACGTCTATAACCACCAGTCTATAACAACCTATTATAAAAAACCACAGTCTATAACCCACATCTATCCCACCTATTATATAAACCACAGCGATAACCACAGTCTATACCCAAGTCTATAAAACACCTAGTAATAAAAAACCACAGTCTATTAACCACTGTAATAACCACAGTTCTAATAACCACCTAGTATAAACCACAGTCGATAACCATGTCTATAACACCTATATACAGTCTATAACCACAGTCTATAACCACAGTCCTAAACACACAGTCTATAACCACCTAGGTATTCACCAACAGTCTATACCACCTAGTATAACCCCTAGTATAACCAACCTAGTAGAACCACAGTCTATCCACCACCTAGTATCACCACAGTCGATCACCACACAGTCTATAACCACTTTATACCACAGTCTTAACCACTAGTTAACCAACAGTCCTATAAACCCCTATTATAACCACCTAGTATATCCAGTCTATAACCACCTAGTATAACCACAGTCTATAACCACCTAGTATAACCACAGTCTATAACCACCTAGTATAACCACAGTCTATAACCACCTAGTATAAACCACAGTCTAATAACCACACAGTGGTCTATACCACCAGTATACCCACATCTATCACACCTAGTATAACCACAGTCTATAACCACCTAGTATAACCACAGTCTATAACCACAGTCTATAACCACAGTCTATAACCACACAGTCTATAACCACCTATTATAACCACAGTCTATAACCACAGTCTATAACCACCTAGTATAACCACAGTCTATAACCACAGTCTAGAAATACCCCTAGTTAACCCACAGTCTATACCACCTAGTATACCACAGTCTATAGCCACACAGTCCCCTATAACCACCTATTATAACCACAGTCTATAACCAGTCTATAACCACCTAGTATAACCACAGTCTATAACCACAGTCTATAACCACAGTCTATAACCACAGTCTATAACCAGTCTATAACCACCTAGTATAACCACAGTCTATAACAGCACTATGTCGCTTGGGGAACCTGTCTAAATGGAATACATGTTTTACAGTAGCAGTGCACCATTAAGGGAATAACCCCCGTCTCTTACCGTAGTGGTCCCAGTCCTCCTGCATGTTCTGTGCACCATTAAGGGATAACCCCAACCCCCGTCTCTTACCGTAGTGGTCCCAGTCCTCCTGCATGTTCTGTGCACCATTAAGGGAATAACCCCCGTCTCTTACCGTAGTGGTCCCAGTCCTCCTGCATGTTCTGTGCACCATTAAGGGAATAACCCCCGTCTCTTACCGTAGTGGTCCCATTCCTCCTGCATGTTCTGAATCTCCAGCTGGTTGCGTCCCTCAGTGAAGATGGGTTTGGGGTTCTTCTCAAATCCTCCAGACAGGATCCCTCCCTGCCACGGTCTCACATAGATCCTCCCATCCATATCGATCACCACTAGAGAGAACACACAGAGATACAGTTACAATACAGTCGAACCCTGACCCCTGACCCTAACCTCCAGACCTCCCTGCCATGCTCTCACATAGATCCTCCCATCCATATCTATCACCACTAGAGAGAACACACAGAGATACAGTTACAATACAGTCGAACCCTGACCCCTGACCCCTGACCCTAACCCTAACCTCCAGACCTCCCTGCCATGCTCTCACAGGGATATGGATGGGAGGATCAAACACCACTAGAGATACAGGGCTCTAAAAAACATTAATTTATTGGTAGCACTGGTGTTCCCAACCTTAAGAAGTCAGGAGCACAAGATGAAATGTAGGAGCACCAGATGAAATGTAGGAGCACCAGATGAAATGTAGGAGCACCAGAAAATCAGAATGTTTAAATAGAGAGAGATACAGCCTCTATTGGGCCTATCTGAATTCTATCTACTTCTGAAGAACATGTTGCGCCCTAGAAACTAATACGTAACCCTGTAAAGACGTTAGTTTATTATAAAAGCTAAGACGTTGATATGAAAACCTGTCATTGGAATTACAAAGTCACTTGTGGAATATTAAGTTTCTACATTTATGGAAAAGCACTATTTTTGTACACCGTCTCTTTAAAACCGTCAGGTTTGTGATGACAACGTGCATCAGTCATTCATTCATTCATTGTGTGATCATTGATCTCCTGATGAAGATACCGATCATTGATCTCCTGATGAAGATACCGATCATTGATCTCCTGATGAAGATACCGATCATTGATCTCCTGATGAAGATACCGATCATTGATCTCCTGAAGAAGATACCGATTATTGATCTCCTGAAGAAGATACCGATCATTGATCTCCTGAAGAAGATACCGATCATTGATCTCCTGAAGAAGCTACCGATCATTGATCTCCTGAAGAAGATACCGATCATTGATCTCCTGAAGAAGCTACCGATCATTGATCTCCTGAAGAAGCTACCGATCATTGATCTCCTGAAGAAGCTACCGATCATTGATCTCCTGAAGAAGCTACCGATCATTGATCTCCTGAAGAAGCTACCGATCATTGATCTCCTGAAGAAGCTACCGATCATTGATCTCCTGAAGAAGCTACCGATCATTGATCTCCTGAAGAAGATACCGATCATTGATCTCCTGAAGAAGCTACCGATCATTGATCTCCTGAAGAAGATACCGATCATTGATCTCCTGAAGAAGCTGCCGATCATTGATCTCCTGAAGAAGCTGGCCCTTTTCCTGAAGAAGATACCGATCATTGATCTCCTGAAGAAGCTACCGATCATTGATCTCCTGAAGAAGCTGGCCCTTTTCCTTTCTGTCCGTGTCCCTGAATGTTTGGATCCACTGGTACAGTTACCCGGTTGGTAGTTAGCTAGCCAATGAGGTAACAAGGTTGAACAAAGTGTAAACAAACGGTTGATGATGTCGAGTAGTTTTTAAAACAAACTCACGAAATGGTTTATGAATATCAAATGTGGTCCTGGCGATCTGCTGCAGAAAGATAAAGATGTTGCTCCGTTAATATGGGTCAGATGTTTTGACCTGGTTGGGCTAGAAGCAAGCCGTTAATATGGGTCAGACCTTTTGACCTGGTTGGGCTAGAAGCAAGCCGTTAATATGGGTCAGACCTTTTGACCTGGTTGGGCTAGAAGCAAGCTGTTAATATGGGTCAGACCTTTTGACCTGGTTGGGCTAGAAGCAAGCCGTTAATATGGGTCAGACCTTTTGACCTGGTTGGGCTAGAAGCAAGCCGTTAATATGGGTCAGATATTTTGACCTGGTTGGGCTAGAAGCAAGCCGTTAATATGGGTCAGATATTTTGACCTGGTTGGGCTAGAAGCAAGCCGTTAATATGGGTCAGATATTTTGACCTGGTTGGGCTAGAAGCAAGCCGTTAATATGGGTCAGATATTTTGACCTGGTTGGGCTAGAAGCAAGCCGTTAATATGGGTCAGATATTTTGACCTGGTTGGGCTAGAAGCAAGCCGTTAATATGGGTCGGATCTTTTGACCTGGTTGGGCTAGAAGCAAGCCGTTAATATGGGTCGGATCTTTTGACCTGGTTGGGCTAGAAGCAAGCCGTTAATATGGGTCGGATCTTTTGACCTGGTTGGGCTAGAAGCAAGCCGTTAATATGGGTCAGATCTTTTGACCTGGTTGGGCTAGAAGCAAGCCGTTAATATGGGTCGGATCATTTGACCTGGTTGGGCTAGAAGCAAGCCGTTAATATGGGTCAGATGTTTTGACCTGGTTGGGCTAGAAGCAAGCCGTTAATATGGGTCAGATCCTTTGACCTGGTTGGGCTAGAAGCAAGCCGTTTGCCCTGTAGTAATGGTGCAACCATGATGCTAATGAATCTGCAGTGGCTTGTTTCTCTAGGGCACTCTAACACAACGGTACAGCCAAGCCTTATCATTACAACATTATCTTTTCCATGGTCACACTTTAGAGCCCTGGTTACAACACAGTCTAACCCTGACCCCTGACCTCCAGACAGGATACCACAGACAGGACAGAGTTCAGGCCAGTGGAGGCTCCTCCGAGGAGGAAGGGGAGGACCATCCTCCTCAGCGAATATCATAAAAATAAAAATAGTGATACAAACATAAAAATAAAAAAAATCATTTTTTTTAGATAAAACTATACTAAATATATATGCATGTCACCAGTAGACTCAACAGCACTCTGTAGGGTAGCACCATGGTGTAGCCGGAGGACAGCTAGCTTCCGTCCTCCTCTGGGTACATTGACTTCAATACAAAACCTAGGAGGCTCATGGTTCTCACCCCCTTCCACCCCCTGAACTGACATGTTGTCCACCCAATCAAAGGATCAGAGAATGAATCTAGTACTGAAAGCATAAGCTACAGCTAGCTAGCACTGCAGTGTATAACATGTGGTGAGTAGTTGACTCAGAGAGAGAGAAAGACAATAGTTGAACAGTTTTTAACAAATTAATTTCTTCCAAAATGAAGGAGAAGCAAGAGAGAGAGATAGCTATATTTCGTTGTATTTTTTTTCTTCCACTTTCACCTACTTAGCTAGCGAATGCAGCTAGCTAGTTTAGCCTACTCAAACACCCGGTTCAAACAGCTTGCTGACTGTACTGCATGATTGTAGCGAGTTTACTAACACATTTCTTCTAGTAGCTCTGTTGACTGGGGATGACGTTAGCTAATATGGTGACAACGATGTAGGCTGTGTGTAGCGGTTAGCGGTTATGATATGAAGGTTTGGCTTGCAAAGGTTTTTTCACCTGGTCACAGACAGCTGATGTGGTGCACTGAAGTCTGCAAGCGAAGGGAAAAGTTGAGAGGAGGAGAGCGCGTAGATGCCAGAAGGAATTCTACAACGAGCAACGTGATCATGCTGTTTGTATGTGTCTGCTATGAAAGGGAACTGTGTTTGCGTGTGATCAGGAGTGTATTCACTCCGCCGATTCTGTTGAAAAACGTTTCTTAAACAGAACAAAACAGGGATAAACATAGAAACTCTTGTTTCAACTGTTGGACTAATGACTACACCCTAGATCAGCTAGATGCAGGCAAGAGTGTGCAAGGCGGTATTGAATGTGTCAATGTCGGTCACCTTGATTACTCACATTTCACTCGACCTGTGTGCACCTACGTTGTAAACTTTAGTTCAGAGGCCAGGTTGTAGCAACCTCATGATGGGTTCAGGGAACATTAGAGTATCATGTAGTAGCCTAAACCTATGGATGTTCCATTGAACTGGGTGAATGGAATATGGATGACAGTCATCCAATATGCTGTAATAGAAATAAGGCCATGGTTATGAAACGGCACCAACCGCCACTGGTTCAGGAATATTACAGCTAATCACTCAATGCGTTCCGGACTGAACGGTACCAGCTCCAACTCCTTGAAGAAACCATATGTGGACTATTTTACAAGCAAAGTAAAAATGGTAGACATTAAAAAAGTGAATGTGGTCCTCAATGACAACGCAAAGCCACCCATACAGAACCAGAACGCTGCACTGTGGTGGTCTCACCTGGGTTCTGGGATGTAGAGGCTTGGAGAGGAAGTGGTCTCACCTGGGGTTCTGGGCGGTAGAGGCTTGGAGAGGAAGTGGTCTCACCTGGGGTTCTGGGACGTAGAGGCTTGGAGAGGAAGTGGTCTCACCTGGGGTTCTGGGCGGTAGAGGCTTGGAGAGGAAGTGGTCTCACCTGGGGTTCTGGGACGTAGAGGCTTGGAGAGGAAGTGGTCTCACCTGGGGTTCTGGGAGGTAGAGGCTTGGAGAGGAAGTGGTCTCACCTGGGGTTCTGGGCGGTAGAGGCTTGGAGAGGAAGTGGTCTCACCTGGGGTTCTGGGCGGTAGAGGCTCTGCTAGAGGCTTGGAGAGGAGGTAGAAGTGTTCACATCCGTGGAGAGGAACAGACACCTTGGTCTCGCTGGCCTGGCCCAGCTCATACGCCCACTGTAGATAGAGGACAGTTATAACACATCATATAGCATTCATAACCCCCTATGAACACTTCTAGAGGAACAGACACCTTGGTCTCACTGGCCTGGCCCAGCTCCTTTAGTTTAGAAACCTCAGAGACAGCTGGCTACAACACTTCATATACACCCTGTTTCTAGTGCACTACAGTAAATAGGGAACAGCTACAACACTTCATATACACCCTGTTTCTAGTGCACTACAGTATATAGGGAACAGCTACAACACTTCATATACACCCTGTTTCTAGTGCACTACAGTATATAGGGAACAGCTACAACACTTCATATACACCCTGTTTCTAGTGCACTACAGTATATAGGGAACAGCTACAACACTTCATATACACCCTGTTTCTAGTGCACTACAGTATATAGGGAACAGCTACAACACTTCATATACACCCTGTTTCTAGTGCACTACAGTATCTAGGGAACAGCTACAACACTTCATATACACCCTGTTTCTAGTGCACTACAGTATATAGGGAACAGCTACAACACTTCATATACACCCTGTTTCTAGTGCACTACAGTATATAGGGAACAGCTACAACACTTCATATACACCCTGTTTCTAGTGCACTACAGTATATAGGGAACAGCTACAACACTTCATATACACCCTGTTTCTAGTGCACTACAGTATATAGGGAACAGCTACAACACTTCATATACACCCTGTTTCTAGTGCACTACAGTATATAGGGAACAGCTACAACACTTCATATACACCCTGTGTGCGTCCCAAATAGCACCCTATTCCCTTTTCTAGTGCACTATATAGGGAACATGGTGTCATGTCGGACGCATCCTATCATTTCATAACCCCCTATGAACACCTACAGATCAGTTGGGCTGAAGAGAGCTGGCTAGCACAGTGTTAACTGGCTAAAGACTAGTGGAGGGAGGGGCCCCATGTCATCTAACACAGTGTTAACTGGCTAAAGACTAGTGGAGGGAGGGGCCCCGTGTCATCTAACACAGTGTTAACTGTCTAAAGACTAGTGGAGGGAGGGGCCCCATGTCATCTAACACAGTGTTAACTGGCTAAAGACTAGTGGAGGGAGGGGCCCCATGTCATCTAGCACAGTGTTAACTGGCTAAAGACTAGTGGAGGGAGGGGCCCCGTGTCATCTAACACAGTGTTAACTGTCTAAAGACTAGTGGAGGGAGGGGCCTCATGTCATCTAACACAGTGTTAACTGTCTAACGACTAGTGGAGGGAGGGGCCCCATGTCATCTAACACAGTGTTAACTGGCTAAAGACTAGTGGAGGGAGGGGCCCCATGTCATCTAACACAGTGTTAACTGTCTAAAGACTAGTGGAGGGAGGGGCCCCATGTCATCTAACACAGTGTTAACTGGCTAAAGACTAGTGGAGGGAGGGGCCCCATGTAATCTAACACAGTGTTAACTGGCTAAAGACTAGTGGAGGGAGGGGCCCCATGTCATCTAACACAGTGTTAACTGTCTAAAGACTAGTGGAGGGAGGGGCCCCATGTCATCTAACACAGTGTTAACTGTCTAAAGACTAGTGGAGGGAGGGGCCCCATGTCATCTAACACAGTGTTAACTGGCTAAAGACTAGTGGAGGGAGGGGCCCCATGTCATCTAACACAGTGTTAACTGGCTAAAGACTAGTGGAGGGAGGGGCCCCATGTCATCTAACACAGTGTTAACTGTCTAAAGACTAGTGGAGGGAGGGGCCCCATGTCATCTAACACAGTGTTAACTGTCTAAAGACTAGTGGAGGGAGGGGCCCCATGTCATCTAACACAGTGTTAACTGGCTAAAGACTAGTGGAGGGAGGGGCCCCATGTCATCTAACACAGTGTTAACTGCCTAAAGACTAGTGGAGGGAGGGGCCCCATGTCATCTAACACAGTGTTAACTGGCTAAAGACTAGTGGAGGGAGGGGCCCCATGTCATCTAACACAGTGTTAACTGTCTAAAGACTAGTGGAGGGAGGGGCCCCATGTCATCTAACACAGTGTTAACTGGCTAAAGACTAGTGGAGGGAGGGGCCCCATGTCATCTAACACAGTGTTAACTGTCTAAAGACTAGTGGAGGGAGGGGCCCCATGTCATCTAACACAGTGTTAACTGGCTAAAGACTAGTGGAGGGAGGGGCCCCATGTCATCTAACACAGTGTTAACTGGCTAAAGACTAGTGGAGGGAGGGGCCCCATGTCATCTAGCACAGTGTTAACTGGCTAAAGACTAGTGGAGGGAGGGGCCCCATGTCATCTAACACAGTGTTAACTGTCTAAAGACTAGTGGAGGGAGGGGCCCCATGTCATCTAACACAGTGTTAACGGTCTAAAGACTAGTGGAGGGAGGGGCCCCATGTCATCTAACACAGTGTTAACTGGCTAAAGACTAGTGGAGGGAGGGGCCCCATGTCATCTAACACAGTGTTAACTGTCTAAAGACTAGTGGAGGGAGGGGCCCCATGTCATCTAACACAGTGTTAACTGGCTAAAGACTAGTGGAGGGAGGGGCCCCATGTCATCTAACACAGTGTTAACTGTCTAAAGACTAGTGGAGGGAGGGGCCCCATGTCATCTAACACAGTGTTAACTGGCTAAAGACTAGTGGAGGGAGGGGCCCCATGTCATCTAACACAGTGTTAACTGTCTAAAGACTAGTGGAGGGAGGGGCCCCATGTCATCTAACACAGTGTTAACTGTCTAAAGACTAGTGGAGGGAGGGGCCCCATGTAATCTAACACAGTGTTAACTGGCTAAAGACTAGTGGAGGGAGGGGCCCCATGTCATCTAACACAGTGTTAACTGGCTAAAGACTAGTGGAGGGAGGGGCCCCATGTCATCTAACACAGTGTTAACTGGCTAAAGACTAGTGGAGGGAGGGGCCCCATGTCATCTAACACAGTGTTAACTGTCTAAAGACTAGTGGAGGGAGGGGCCCCATGTCATCTAACACAGTGTTAACTGTCTAAAGACTAGTGGAGGGAGGGGCCCCATGTTATTTACAGTTACACACACGTAATGGACAGAGATTCACCTGTCCTGCACAGTTGACAAAGTATTCACACTCGATGGCTCCTCTGTCCGTCTCGACCGCTGTCACATGTCCCTTCTCCAGCATCACATGGTTAACTGTGGTACGCTCATGGATCTGCACTCCTGGAGATCAGAACATGGCAGACATGTAGATTTATGTATAATGTGATCAAACATGATAAACACCATCAATAGTTCACAGCCAGTTTGATTGGAGTACCATGAAGTTACATTAGCCAGAGAGATGCCCCATGGGCACTGACTAACTCAAACTCTGCTTGGCATGGCCCCACCCTGGCCCCACCATGGCCCCACCCTGGCCCCACCCTGGCCCCACCCCCAGAAGCCTTGCTTTCTGGCTTCATTGCATCCTGACCGATGGCGATACCACATGGTTGTAGCTTCCTATTGAAACCTTCACTACAGTTAGGCTTGCAAAATGTTCCCAAAATTCACTGGTTTTCCAGAAATCCCGGTTGGAAAATTCCCTGAATCAGGACGGAACAAGCAGGAAATCTGGAAACATCCAACCAGGATTTCTGCAAAACCTGGGAATTTTGAGAAAGTTGATGGAATTTTTACATTTACATTTTAGTCATTTAGCAGACGCTCTTATCCAGAGCCACTTACAGTTAGTGAGTGCATACATTATTTATTTTTCATTTTTCATACTGGCCCCCCGTGGGAATCGAACCCACAACCCTGGCATTGCAAACGCCATGCTCTACCAACTGAGCTACATTCCCTCCCCTACCCTGGACGAAGCTGGGCCAATTGAGCGCCGCCCCATGGGTCTCCCGGTCGCGGCCGGCTGCGACAGAGCCTGGATTCGAACAGGATCTCTAGTGGCACAGCTAGCACTGCGATGCAGTGCCTTAGACCACTGTGCCACTTGTTTTGCAAGCCTAACAACAGTCCATCCTTGGTTTTACCGTCTCACCGTGTCCGGCTGCTGCCGTGGCGAGGGCGTGGTTGACGTCAGGCGGTGACACCACGGCATCACCCGGCAGGTGGAGCGCCCCCACCAGGTCATGAATATTCACCAGGGGGTGGAGCTTAGAAACCTCTTTGGGTTTGATCACGTTACAGGGGATCCCCATCACACTGAGAGAGGGAGGAGACAGGAAGGAGGGTTATGGAGATTCCCAGGGGGGGGTGGAGCTTAGAAACCTCTTTGGGTTTGATCACGTTACAGGGGATCCCCATCACACTGAGAGAGAGGGAGGAGACAGGAAGGAGGGTTATGGAGATTCCAGGGGCAGAGCTTACTCTTTGGGTTTGATCACGTTACAGGGGATCCCCATCACATGAGAGAGAGGGAGGGAGGACAGGAAGGAGGGTTATGGAGATTCACCAGGGGTGGAGCTTACTCTTTGGGTTTGATCACGTTACAGGGGATCCCCATCACACTGAGAGAGAGGGAGGAGACAGGAAGGAGGGTTATGGAGATTCACCAGGGGGTGGAGCTTACTCTTTGGGTTTGATCACGTTACAGGGGATCCCCATCACACTGAGAGAGAGGGAGGAGACAGGAAGGAGGGTTATGGAGATTCCCAGGGGGCAGAGCTTACTCTTTGGGTTTGATCACGTTACAGGGGATCCCCATCATGGACTAACAGAAAACAGTACAGTGGAGCTGGATACATACAGCCCAGCTACAGCAACATGGAGATGGCTTGGCAGAGATGGACTAACAGAACACAGCTGGCCAGTGGAGCTACAGTGGAGCTGGATAGGATACATGGAATGAATATTCTAGAAGGACTACAGTGGCGCTGGATAGGCTAAATGTTGGGAACTGTAATGAATATTCTAGAAGGACTACAGTGGAGCTGGATAGGCTAAATGTTGGGAAATGTAATGAATATTCTAGAAGGACTACAGTGGAGCTGGATAGGCTAAATGTTGGGAAATGTAATGAATATTCTAGAAGGACTACAGTGGAGCTGGATAGGCTAAATGTTGGGAACTGTAATGAATATTCTAGAAGGACTACAGTGGAGCTGGATAGGCTAAATGTTGGGAAATGTAATGAATATTCTAGAAGGAGTATAGTGGAGCTGGATAGGCTAAATGTTGGGAAATGTAATGAATATTCTAAAAGGACTACAGTGGAGCTGGATAAGCTAAATGTAATGAATATTCTAGAAGGACTACAGTGGAGCTGGATAGGCTAAATGTTGGGAAATGTAATGAATATTCTAGGACTACAGTGGAGCTGGATAGGCTAAATGTTGGGAAATGTAATGAATATTCTAAAAGGACTACAGTGGAGCTGGATAGGCTAAATGTTGGGAAATGTAATGAATATTCTAGAAGGACTACAGTGGAGCTGGATAGGCTAAATGTTGGGAAATGTAATGAATATTCTAGGAGGACTACAGTGGAGCTGGATAGGCTAAATGTTGGGAAATGTAATGAATATTCTAGAAGGACTACAGTGGAGCTGGATAGGCTAAATGTTGGGAACTGTAATGAATATTCTAGAAGGACTACAGTGGAGCTGGATAGGCTAAATGTTGGGAAATGTAATGAATATTCTAAAAGGACTACAGTGGAGCTGGATAAGCTAAATGTAATGAATATTCTAGAAGGACTACAGTGGAGCTGGATAGGCTAAATGTTGGGAAATGTAATGAATATTCTAGAAGGACTACAGTGGAGCTGGATAGGCTAAATGTTGGGAAATGTAATGAATATTCTAAAAGGACTACAGTGGAGCTGGATAGGCTAAATGTAATGAATATTCTAGAAGGACTACAGTGGAGCTGGATAGGCTAAATGTTGGGAAATGTAATGAATATTCTAGAAGGACTACAGTGGAGCTGGATAGACTAAATGTAATGAATAGTCTAGAAGGACTACAGTGGAGCTGGATAGGCTAAATGTTGGGAAATGTAATGAATATTCTAAGAGGACTACAGTGGAGCTGGATAGGCTAAATGTTGGGAAATGTAATGAATATTCTAAAAGGACTACAGTGGAGCTGGATAGGCTAAATGTAATGAATATTCTAGAAGGACTACAGTGGAGCTGGATAGGCTAAATGTTGGGAACTGTAATGAATATTCTAGAAGGACTACAGTGGAGCTGGATAGGCTAAATGTTGGGAAATGTAATGAATATTCAAAATGGACTACAGTGGAGCTGGATAGGCTAAATGTAATGAATAGTCTAGAAGGACTACAGTGGAGCTGGATAGGCTAAATGTTGGGAAATGTAATTAATATTCTAAAAGGACTACAGTGGAGCTGGATAGGCTAAATGTAATGAATATTCTAGAAGGACTACAGTGGAGCTGGATAGGCTAAATGTTGGGAAATGTAATGAATATTCTAGAAGGACTACAGTGGAGCTGGATAGGCTAAATGTTGGGAAATGTAATGAATATTCTAGAAGGACTACAGTGGAGCTGGATAGGCTAAATGTTGGGAATGTAATGAATATTCTAGGAGGACTACAGTGGAGCTGGATAGGCTAAATGTTGGGAAATGTAATGAATATTCTAGGAGGACTACAGTGGAGCTGGATAGGCTAAATGTTGGGAAATGTAATGAATATTCAAAATGGACTACAGTGGAGCTGGATAGGCTAAATGTAATGAATAGTCTAGAAGGACTACAGTGGAGCTGGATAGGCTAAATGTAATGAATATTCTAGAAGGACTACAGTGGAGCTGGATAGGCTAAATGTTGGAAAATGTAATGAATATTCTAGAAGGACTACAGTGGAGCTGGATAGGCTAAATGTTGGGAAATGTAATGAATATTCTAAAAGGACTACAGTGGAGCTGGATAGGCTAAATGTAATGAATATTCTAGAAGGACTACAGTGGAGCTGGATGGGCTAAATGTTGGGAACTGTAATGAATATTCTAGAAGGACTACAGTGGAGCTGGATAGGCTAAATGTTGGGAAATGTAATGAATATTCAAAATGGAGTACAGTGGAGCTGGATAGGCTAAATGTAATGAATAGTCTAGAAGGACTACAGTGGAGCTGGATAGGCTAAATGTTGGGAAATGTAATGAATATACTAAAAGGACTACAGTGGAGCTGGATAGGCTAAATGTAATGAATATTCTAGAAGGACTACAGTGAAGCTGGATAGGCTAAATGTTGGGAACTGTAATGAATATTCTAGAAGGACTACAGTGGAGCTGGATAGGCTAAATGTTGGGAAATGTAATGAATATTCTAGAAGGACTACAGTGGAGCTGGATAGGCTAAATGTTGGGAACTGTAATGAATATTCTAGAAGGACTACAGTGGAGCTGGATAGGCTAAATGTTGGGAAATGTAATGAATATTCTAAAAGGACTACAGTGGAGCTGGATAGGCTAAATGTAATGAATATTCTAGAAGGACTACAGTGGAGCTGGATAGGCTAAATGTTGGAAAATGTAATGAATATTCTAGAAGGACTACAGTGGAGCTGGATAGGCTAAATGTTGGGAAATGTAATGAATATTCTAGGACTACAGTGGAGCTGGATAGGCTAAATGTTGGGAAATGTAATGAATATTCTAGAAGGACTACAGTGGAGCTGGATAGGCTAAATGTTGGGAAATGTAATGAATATTCTAGAAGGACTACAGTGGAGCTGGATAGGCTAAATGTTGGGAACTGTAATGAATATTCTAGGAGGACTACATTGGAGCTGGATAGGCTAAATGTTGGAAAATGTAATGAATATTCTAGAAGGACTACAGTGGAGCTGGATAGGCTAAATGTTGGGAAATGTAATGAATATTCTAAAAGGACTACAGTGGAGCTGGATAGGCTAAATGTAATGAATATTCTAGAAGGACTACAGTGGAGCTGGATAGGCTAAATGTTGGGAACTGTAATGAATATTCTAGAAGGACTACAGTGGAGCTGGATAGGCTAAATGTTGGGAAATGTAATGAATATTCAAAATGGACTACAGTGGAGCTGGATAGGCTAAATGTAATGAATAGTCTAGAAGGACTACAGTGGAGCTGGATAGGCTAAATGTTGGGAAATGTAATGAATATTCTAGAAGGACTACAGTGGAGCTGGATAGGCTAAATGTTGGGAAATGTAATGAATATTCTAGAAGGACTACAGTGGAGCTGGATAGGCTAAATGTTGGGAAATGTAATGAATATTCTAGAAGGACTACAGTGGAGCTGGATAGGCTAAATGTTGGGAACTGTAATGAATATTCTAGAAGGACTACAGTGGAGCTGGATAGGCTAAATGTTGGGAACTGTAATGAATATTCTAGAAGGACTACAGTGGAGCTGGATAGGCTAAATGTTGGGAAATGTAATGAATATTCTAGGAGGACTACAGTGGAGCTGGATAGGCTAAATGTAATGAATATTCTAGAAGGACTACAGTGGAGCTGGATAGGCTAAATGTTGGAAAATGTAATGAATATTCTAGAAGGACTACAGTGGAGCTGGATAGGCTAAATGTTGGGAAATGTAATGAATATTCTAAAAGGACTACAGTGGAGCTGGATAGGCTAAATGTAATGAATAGTCTAGAAGGACTACAGTGGAGCTGGATAGGCTAAATGTAATGAATATTCTAAAAGGACTACAGTGGAGCTGGATAGGCTAAATGTAATGAATAGTCTAAAAGGACTACAGTGGAGCTGGATAGGCTAAATGTAATGAATAGTCTAGAAGGACTACAGCACTGAGCAACAATAATTAGCAATAATTCAAGTGACTGAAGAGAACTGGAGTACTGTTCATGAAGTCCAGCTCCCTCTCAGAGAGTACTGAGCTATAATTCAGACCCGAGGAGAGGGAGGGAAGGGAAGGGCGGTTAGGGAGGGAAGGGAAGGGCGGTTAGGGAGGGAAGGGAAGGGCGGTTAGGGAGGGAAGGGAAGGGCGGTTAGGGAGGGAAGGGAAGGGCGGTTAGGGAGGGAAGGGAAGGGCGGTTAGGGAGGGAAGGGAAGGGCGGTTAGGGAGGGAAGGGAAGGGCGGTTAGGGAGGGAAGGGAAGGGCGGTTAGGGAGGGACTTACTTGAGCCTGGATGCCAGGCGCTTCAGGGAGAGGAAACGGTCCTGATTCTGGGCCAGGCATAGAGAGCCTGTTCTCACGTAGCCTGTAACACACATACACACAGAAACATTAGGACTGCCAAGTCATGAATCATCTCATGTTAAACCACACAACTAAATACCACTGGTAAATCCAGTTTATACACAACTAAATACCACTGGTAAATCCAGTTTATACACAACTAAATACCACTGGTAAATCCAGTTTATACACAACTAAATACCACTGGTAAATCCAGTTTATACACAACTAAATACCACTGGTAAATCCAGTTTATACACAACTAAATACCACTGGTAAATCCAGTTTATACACAACTAAATACCACTGGTAAATCCAGTTTATACACAACTAAATACCACTGGTAAATCCAGTTTATACACAACTAAATACCACTGGTAAATCCAGTTTATACACAACTAAATACCACTGGTAAATCCAGTTTATACACAACTAAATACCACTGGTAAATCCAGTTTATACACAACTAAATACCACTGGTAAATCCAGTTTATACACAACTAAATACCACTGGTAAATCCAGTTTATACACAACTAAATACCAC